AATCTTTACGGGAAGAGAGTTTTGTCTTCCTGGAGCAAGTGTGTAGGAGTAGAACTTCTCCCCTCTCCCCTATCTTTTTGTTAAATCACCTGTATCCCTGGTTGTGCCCTCATTCTCTGTCCATCACTTAAAACTGTGTTGCTACACAATGGAGGAATTTTGTGGTAGATACTAGGAAGCCCCCCTGGATTTTGTACATAGGGATAGTGTTTTCAAATAGTCATAGTACATCCTCTCAATCTATCACATCTTCAGTAGTTTCTTTGCTCTTATTCCAGCCTCAGCCTCTCTTACCCCATTATTTTCTCATCTAATGCAGCTACCTACAAAGGCTCTTCTTTTTGAAGGCCTCCATATAGCAATGAAAATTTGCAAGGTGAAAGGGAAGAATAGTATCCAAAAGATGTTCTTCCTCTATTTTAATAACAAGAATTGAAAAGATCATTGAAAATTGAATAGTATTCTAGAAAAAATGTGGCCAGCATTTTGTGGAAAGAGGAAGTGTCACATTGGGAATAAGACTTGATAGAAGACATATACTACTCTCAAATTTCTCTATTTGTAGGGCTAAGCCACATTTCCTAAGGCTGAGTAAGGTGCTCTTTTGGTGGTTATTAAGGTTGTAGGTGCACAGCCCCACTCAGCTATATGTGCCCCAGATTAATACGTAAACTAGAATTTTAGAATTTGCCTCTATCTTTTGGTTTCCCCTGCAATTTTTGTGATCCTATATTGTGCTGCTTTCTTTTACTTTTAAGTCCATGGTAAATACAAATAACTCTCATTTCCCTTGGTTACTGAGACACCAGATCTATCCCACAATCCAATTTCAATACTACTCTACCCACAATCACTCCAAACCCAACTTAATTGCTTTCCTGTTTTGTTCATCTAATTCCTCCAAAGTAGATGTGCCCCTCACCCTGTGTTCTAAACACAGATTCTCAGGTGACAAGCCTAAATTGTCCTGATTTCTGAACTCCAAATTTCCCCCAAATCTCAAGTTTCTTTATAGTTCTACCTTGAGCTCTACTCCCTACCACTATCATACCACAAGCCCCATAGGGTATTACAACTCCCATAGTTTTAGGATAT